CACAGGCGCACACCGGCTCCATGCAGACACTTGCTCCCCCTGCTCCAAGCACCCAAGCAAAGGTCGCGAGTCCTTGACCCACGGGCAGGCGCCGGCCGAGGCGAGCTCCGCACTTGCTGCCAGGGAGCGGTGCCCGGGCAAGAGCAGCCCCAGGGCCGAGCGCCTGCCCCGAGCAGCCGGGTCATGGAGCAGGCGGGGTGATCCCAACACTGCCGCAGCAGGATGGGGCCCGGCTGCACGGAGAAGCCCTGAGCGAGGGAGCTTGGGGGTGGCACCCCGACAGCCCCAGCCAGGCACTGGGAGCCTGCGATGGGGCCGGCAGCACAGGGGTCTGGCATCGCCAGCCCCCTTTGGAGGGGCTGCACAGGCTGCCCCAGGGGCAGAGGGTCTCTGCTAGTGCGGAGCCAGCCCGGGGCTGTGGCCACTCTGTCCCCACTGCAGGAAGCTGGCCCCAGTCCCTGCCTTATTCCCAGCCCGTGCAGGTCAAGGCCCCGGTGCCGAGCAGCACGGCAGGGCGGTGCACAGGGAAGAGCGCAGTGACCGCCGCCATTGCACACACCTCTGCCCCAGCAGCGCCATGCCCAGGCCAGGCATGCCCAGGTCCTGCCTTGTGGCATGCACCTGCCAAGGTGCCCTGGGGGGAACCCACATGCTAGACCCATTGCACAGCAGAGTGCAGGGCTGCAGGAGCCACCACTGACCCATGCGCATGAGCACACACGTGTACACACGTGGAGCAGCTCATCAGTGCCCCCTCCTGGGCTGCCAGAGCCTCTGCCACTGGACAAGCCACCCCAGGCTGGGACTCGGACCCAAATCCCCTGGGTCAAACAGCCAGGTCCCTGGGGTGGGAGCACAGGGCACGCACACACCAGCAAGCACATCCCAGCCCCAGACAGTGCTCCACCGGCCTCCGTGCCACCCATGGCAGCAGGAGCCAGGCAGCTCTGGGGCCTGCGGGGCTGTTGCTGGGGGCTGGCTGGGCACAGGTGGGAAAGCGCCTTCCCCAGCTCGGGCAGGGATTTAGGGCATCTCTCCACTGGGGGATGTGGCAGCCTCGTGCTCCACCCCGGGAGGAACCAGCCCCCTCGAGAGCCCCCACCCACAGGCACTGCACCGCCCGCCCCCCTCAGCCAGGCACACGGGGCCCCCAGCCTCGCACAGCCCGGCAGGCCTCAACGCACCCGGCTGGTCCACACCAGCAGTTTGTGCCCTCGGCTGCATGCAGACAACGCAGCCCCGGGGAAACCTCTGCTCCTGGGCTCGCAAGCCAGCCCCTCTCCTCTGGACGTTTGCAAGCGGCAGGGCACCCCGGGCTGGTCTCTGCAGGGTCCGGGCTCCCGGCTGGAAGGTCAGTTGTCAGGGAAGAGGCCAGACGTGCCGCTGTCTGAGGGCTCCCCACCCGGTGAGACAAGGGCGGGTGCTCACTCGCCTCCCTGCACGCACCCAGGGGCCCGTCACTGAGGTGCTGGTGGAGCCGGCCGTGGCGCAGGGGATCGGCCCTGCTCGCAGACTGTACACAGCAAGGCTGGCCCCTCTGCCCGGCCAGGGGCTCGCGAAGGCCATGGGCAGGGGGTCTGCATTACTCACGGGTGGCGAGGGGCTGGCTGCCGGGGCAGAGTGTGGTGGGACAGGGAGGTGGACAAGGCCACGAGGGTACGAGCTCCCCATGAGGCGAGATGCACAGTTACAGCATGGCTACAACGTAGATAATAAAACCTCAACCTTAATAATTAGGGAAAACCCTGCCAGGGAACTGGGGGAGAAGGCACAGAACATACCTGCCCGCAACCACACAATCTAGTGCTTGGGGGACCCCCGGAGTTGAGACCTGCCATCGCCCAGGCTCGGGGGGCAGGCGGGCAGGGAAGGACACCAGCAGGACAGGGGGACGTGGGGTGAGCGGAGGGAGCAGGGCCACAGGGCAGTGATAGAGCCGGTGCAGGCCACAGGACATGCTCCAAGCCGAGCACAAATTCTCTTCCCAGATGCTTGGGAAGACCCCCTTGAATACTTAGTTCTGCATCAGTTTAACCCAAACCCAATGGTCCTTTTTTGGAAGCCGAGCCTGGGCCACAGACGAGGGCCTGAGCATCCCCTCGTGGGGGCTGTGCACCACCAAGTGCTGGTTGCTGCACTGACTGCAATCGCAGCATCTCCAACGAATGGGGCAGCCAGGAGCATGGAGATGCTCCCATTTTCCCAAAAGCACCACAGCGAGCTCCCAAGCTGCGGCGGTGCCATTTTAAGGCAGAGACTTAGAAGCTAAGAACGGGGTTTTAACTTTTCAAGGCAACTTAAACTGCAGAAAGAGAGGGGGGTGGCTAAGGGGTCTGTCCTGCTCATGGGAAGCCAGCCCAGCACCCTCCCATATTCACACAATGACCAGGGGTGCAACCCTTGCACTGTTGCACTTGGGAGCTGCCAGCCCCAGGAGCTGGAAGCTTTCTGTGCTCAACAGGACGGGAGAGGAGGGACAAGAATAAAGTCTTCCCTTCAGTTTGGTCCTTGTTCACTGACCCCATCAAGTGCCTGCACCCCACTCAGCCCCTCGCATGCTGCTTTCTCCCTCCCTCCCCAGCTCTGCTAGGGCACCATGAGAGGAGTGCTCCAAAAGCAACAACTGCTGCAGACACTCGCACGCTCTCATCCCTGGCAGGAAATCCCAAGCCATGCAGACCTGGAAGATGAGAAGGGCAGTCCTGTGCTGGCAGGGAACAGGTGAGGGGCAGTTTTGCAAGTTCTCAGCAGACAGCAGGCATAGTCCCCCGCTTGCCAGGGAGGCTGGGGTAGGCAGGGGCTCCTGCCAGGGCAGGCACAGGGGTTCATGCTGCCTCTGGCATGTTGCTGCAGGGCCTGAAGCAGAGCACAGCAAGCACAAGCGCCTCTTACACAGCACACAAAGTACCTGGCAGTCACCGGGACACTGCCCCCCCCCCCCCCAAAACCGGCCGACAAAAAGCCATCGGCCCCTTTGAGCCCTGGGGCAAGGAGGGTAGATTCTTCTTGTTTCCAGCCCTGGGACCAGGTGGGAAGCAGAAGGGGTTGTGCTCCCAGGTAGCCCAACAAGAGACTCAAAGGCAGTTTCTGGTGGGGGATGGGGTAGGGGCCAGGAGAGGCAGGTGCTGTTCCTGCATCACTTCACACATCTCCACTTCCACTTGGGCAGCACATACCCACCTTAGAGGGCGTCTCACTGCTGCTTTAGCGCTGGTGAAGCATTCTGAGATGCCCGGGGGTGAAGCACCAGCAAGCAATCCCCACACAATGCTGGAGATGCCTGGGGCTGCTGCTCTGCTTTACCACCTGGAAGAGCCATTTGCCTTATAGCTGCCTAAATAAAAGCCACCTCCAACATACAACCCCTGACTACCCCCGGGCACAAAGCTGGCAGTCTCACATTTAGCCTGCTCGGATCAAAGCCGCAGCCTTTCCGGTCCCATGGCTGTCCCAGCCCCTGGATCAGGGCTCCCCTGGAAGAACAGGCAGACCTGGGGATAGAGCAGCACACAAACCCATCCTGAATGGATCACTTCTGCCCAACACAAGCCCAGGGCTGGTGGCATCTTCCCAGCTTGCCTGCACTGGTCTAGCTTGTCCCACCACCAGTACATTTCAGCTCCTGACGCCTGAATATTCCCCCAATGAGCAGAGGGCTCAATTCTGGTATTCTGGCACACATCCAGGAGGGGCCAGCAGGGAACGGCATGCTCAGGGGCAACCAGCACGGGTTCATCAGCAGCAGGTCCCGTCAGACCAACCTGGTGGCCTTTTACGACCAGGTCACTAAATCATTGGATGCAGGGGTGGCAGTGGATATAGCTTTCCTAGACTTCAGGAAGGCTTTTGACACTGTCTCTCACCCCGTTCTCATTAGGAAGCTGGGGGACTGTGGCGTAGACACCCACACAGTCCAATGGGTCGCAAACTGGTTAGAGTGTCGCACCCAGAGGGTGGTAGTGGATGGGTCCTTCTCGACCTGGAAGGATGTGGGGTCCCACAGGGCTCGGTCCTTGGGCCCGCCCTGTTCAACATCTTCATCAGTGATTTGGACGAGGGGGTGCAAAGCACCCTGTTCAAGTTTGCTGATGACACTAAGATGTGGGATGTGGGCACAGTAGAGGGGAGCAACAGGCTACAGTTGGACGTAGACAGGTTACAAGGATGGGCGGAGGAGAATAGGATGGGGTTTAACACAGACAAGTGTAAGGTGATGCACCTGGGGAGGAACAATCGGCACCACACATACAGGCTGGGGAACTCCCCTCTTGTCAGCACAGAGGTGGAAAAGGATCTGGGAGTCATTA